CCCTCTGTTTAATCTGGACCAAGGAAAAGATATTTTATTAACAAGTTTTAATTCTCATGGAACCTACATAATTTTGGGTGTTTAAGCTTAAAAGAAAAGAGAGGTTGAGTGTTAACAGATGTGGTGACAAAGGCCTTGTGGCCTGCCCCTTACTCTCTTCTAAGCCTTTCATGGTCTAGAAAGCTTCTTGAATTGATGTCGTGTTACATGCATGTTCATATAATCATGTCTATACTTTAGTTTCTGGAATGAATGAATGAATGACTTGTGATGGCCTTCCTAAATTGAGCCATTATTTTTCCATCTGAGTGATGGCTTTGTTTTTTATTTAGTGGCAAGAAGTAGGGGGTTATTTGTTATTATAGGGGTTAGTGTTGAGAGGGTCCTCAGATGTCAGCTAGTCCAGCTTTCCAGCCAGTACAGGAGTGCCTTATTGCAGGAGGTTAAACTGATGGTTACCCAGCCTTTGCTGGAATACTTAAAGTGATGGGAAACTTACTGCCTTTTCCAGTGTTATCATGGTTTTATTAAGTAGCATCTGCTGTTTAAGTCAAAGTGTGCCTTCTGGTTACTATACCTTCAGTCCTAGTTCTTTCCTCTGAAGTAATACATAATCAGTCTTTTTCCTCATTGGTATCCCAGCCCAGGAATATTTTTCTCCTCTCTGAGCTTTAATTTTCTTGTCTGTAACATGATTTGGTTACCTGACCAGGATTGAGGTTTAAGAACAACCTGGACAATCGTGACCTTAGGCAAAACCCTTTTCATGTCTCAGAGTATTAGTATCTTAGTTTTATCTCTGGTGTATAATATAATGGGAAAAATGGCAGTGTGTGTCCATTGGTTTGGGAACCTTGATAGGTACTTTCCAGTTGATGTTCTTGCCATTAATAAATGAATTAATTCATTTCTTCATTGAACATTTATTGACCATTCCCTATGTGCCTGGCACTTGCTTGGGTCTTGAGTGAATATGAAAACAGGGAATACGACAGATACCTTCCCTGCCTGACTGAGGCTTAAGTTCTCTCCCCTAGATCTTTTTACTTTGAGGTATAAATGCTTTTCTAAAATTTTGTTTTATGTTTCTAAAAAATGTTTATTTTATGTTGGAGTAAAGTTGATTTACAATGTGTTAGTTTGAGGTGTGCAGCAAAGTGATTTAGTTATACATATACCTATATCAGTTCTTTTTTCAGATTCTTTTCCCACATAGGTTATTACAGAGTATTGAGTAGAGTTCCCTGTGCTATACAGTAGGTCTTTGTAATTATCTCTTTTATATATAGTAGTGTGTATATGTTAATCCTAACTTCCTAATTTATCCCTTCCCCGACCTTTCCCCTTTGGTAACCATAGGTTTGTTTGCTAAGTCTGTGAGTCTGTTTCTGTTTTGTAAATAAGTTCATTTGTATCATTTTTTAGATTCCACATAAAAGTGATATCATATATTTGTCTTTGTCTGACTTCACTTAGTATGATCATCTCTAGGTCCATCTGTGTTGCAAATGGCATTATTTCATTCTTTTTTTATGGCTGAGTAATTTTCCATTGTATATATGTACCACATCTTCTTCATTCATCTGTTGATGGCCATTTAGGCTGCTTCCATGTCTTGGCTATTGTATATGGTGCTGCAAAGAACATGGGGTTGCATGTATCCTTTCAAAGTATGGTTTTCTCCAGATAATATGCCCAGGAGTGGGGTTGCTGGATCATATGGTATCTCTATTTTCAGTTTTTTAAAGAACCTCCATACTGTTCTCCATAGTGGCTGTACCAATTTACATTCCCACCAACAGGGTAGGAGGGTTCTAGGAGGGTTCCCCTCTTTCCACACCCTCTCCAGCATTTATTGTTTGTAGACTTAAAAAAAAATTATTTATTTATTTATTTGGCTGCACCGGGTGTTAGTTGTGGCACACGGGATCTTCATTGCCACACACAGGATCTTCGTTTCAGCATGAGGGATCTTTATGTTGTGGCACGTGGGATCTTTAGTTGTGGCATGCGGGATCTTTAGTTGTGGCATGTGGGATCTAGTTCCCTGAGCAGGGATTGAACCCAGGCTCCCTATGTTGGGAGAACAGAGTCTTAGCCACCGGACCACCAGGGAAGTCCCCTATCGTTTGTGGACTTTTTGATGATGGCCATTCTGACCCGTGTGAGGTGATACCTCATTGTAGTTTTGATTTGCATTTCTCTAATAATTAGTGATGTTGAGCATCTTTTCATGTGTCTCTTGGCCATCTGTATGTCTTCTTTGGAGAAATGTCTCTTTAGATCTTCTGTGCATATTTTGATTGGGTTGTTTGTTTTTTTGATACTGAGCTGCATGAGCTGATTGTATATTTTGGAGATTAATCCCTTGTTGGTCACATTGTTTGCAAATATTTTCTCCCACTCTGTGGGTTGCGTTGCGTTTTGTTTACGGTTTCCTTTGCTGTGCAAAAGCTTTGGAGTTCAGTTAGGTCCCATTTGTTTATTTTTATTTTCATTACTCTAGGAAGTTGATCCAAAAAGATATTCCTGAAATTTATGTCAAAGAGTGTTCTGCCTGTGTTTTCTTCTAAGAGTTGGATAGTATCTGACCTTACATTTGGGTCTTTAATCCATTTTGAGTTTATTTTTGTGCATCGTGTTAGAGAATCTTCTAATTTCGTTCTTTTACATGTAGCTGTCCAGTTTTCCCAGCACCACTTATTGAAGAGGCTGTCTTTTCTCCATTGTATATTCTTGCCTCCTTCATCATAGAGTAATTGACCATTAGGTACATGGGTTTATTTCTGGGCTTTCTATATCTTGTTCCACTGATCTGTAAGTCTGTCTCTGTGCCAGTGCCATACTGTTTTGATTATTGTAACTTTATAGTATAGTCTGAAGTCGGGGAGCCTGATTCCTCGAGCTCTGTTTTTCTTTCTCAAGATTGCTTTGGCTATTCGGGATCTTGTGTATTTCCATATAAATTTTAAGATTTTTTGTTCTAGATCTGAAAAAATGCCACTGGTAATTTATTTCATAGGGGTTGCATTGAATCTGTAGATTACCTTGGATCGTATAGTCATTTTTTTTTTTTTTTTTTTTTTTCGCGGTACGCGGGCCTCTCACTGTTGTGGCCTCTCCCGTTGTGGAGCACAGGCTCCAGATGCGCAGGCTCAGCGGCCATGGCTCATGGGCCTAGCCGCTCTGCAGCATGTAGGATATTCCTGGACTGGGGCACGAACCCGTGTCCCCTGCATCGGCAGGCGGACTCTCAACCACTGCGCCACCAGGGAAGCCCCGTATAGTCATTTTGACAATATTGTTCTTCCAGTCCAAGAACATGGTGTATCTTTCCATCTGTTTGTGTCACCTTTGATCTCTTTCATCAGTGTCTTACTGTTTTTGGAGTACAGGTCTTTTGCCTCCTTAGGTAGGTTTATTCCTAGGTATTTTATTCTTTTTGATGTGATGGTACATGGGATTGTTTCCTTAATTTCTCTTTCTGCTCTTTTGTTGTTAGTGTATAGAAATGCAGCAGATTTCTGTGTTAATTTAGTATTTTGCAACTTTACCAGATTCATTGATTAGCTCTAGTAGTTTTCTGGTAGCATCTTTAGGATTTTCTATGTATAGCATCATGTCATCTGCAAACAGTGACAGTTTTACTTCTTCTTTTCCAAACTGTATTCCCTTTATTTCTTTTTCTTCTCTGATTGCTGTGGCTAGGACTTCCAAAACTATGTTGAATAAAAGTGGTGAGAGTGGACATCCTTGTCTTGTTGCTGATCTTAGAGGAAATGCTTTCAGCTTTTCACTGTTGAGAATGATGTTTGCTGTGGGCTTGTCATATATAGCCTTTATTATGTTGAGGTAGGTTCCCTCTATGCCCACTTTCTGGAGAGTTTTTATGATAAATGGGTGTTGAATTTTGTGAAAAGCTTCTTCTGCAGCTATTGAGATGATCATCTAGTTTTTATTCTCCAGTTTGTTAATGTGGTGTATCACACTGACTTGTGGATATTGAAAAATCCTTGCACCTCTGGGATAAGTCCCACTTGATCGTGGTGTGGGTATCCTTTTAATGTATTGTTGGATTCAGTTTACTAGTATTTTGTTGAGGATTTTTTGTGTCTGCTCATCAGTGATATTGGCCTGTAATTTTCTTTTTTTGTTGTATCTTTTTCTGGTTTTGGTATCAGGGTGATGGTGGTTGCTTAGAATGAGTTTGGGACTGTTCCTTCCTCTGCAATATTTTGAAATAGTTTCTGAAGGATAGGTGTTAACACTTCTCTAAATGCCTGATAGGATTCGCCTGTGAAGCCATCTGGTCCTGGACTATTGTTTGTTGGGAGGTTTTAATCACAGTTTCAATTTCAATACTTGTGATTGGTCTATACATATTTTCTGTTTTTCCCTTGTTCAGTCTTGGAAGATTGTACCTTTCTAAGAATTTGTCCATTTCTTCTAGGTTGTCCATTTTATTGGCATACAGTTGATTGTAATAGTTTCTTATGATCCTTTGTATTTCTGTGGTGTCTGTTGTAACTTTTCCTTTTTCATTTCTAACTGATTTGAGCCCTTTCCCTTTTTTTCTTGATGAGTCTGGCTAAAGGTTTATCAGTTTTGTTTATCTTTTCAAAGAAACAGCTTTTAGTTTCGTTGATCTTTACTATTGTTTTCGTCATCCCTATTTCTTTTATTTCTGCTCTGATCTTTATGCTTTCTTTCCTTCTACTAACTTTGGGTTTTGTTGCTTTAGTTGCTTTAGGTGTAAGATTAGGTTGTTTATTTGGGCTTTTTTTGGTTTCCTGAGGTAAGATTGTATTGCTATCAACTTCCCTCTTAGAACTGCTTTTGCTGCATCACATAGGTTTTGGATCATCATATTTTGTTTTCATTTGTTTGTAGAAGGTTTTTTGACTCTTCAAAATAAAATCTTGTTAGTGTACTTTTACTCCTCTGAGTGTTCTTTGTTTTCTAACTAATTCAGTATTTAACAGTATGTCTTTGATTTGTAGATATATGGAGTCTGGGAGTGATCCTTTTCATGTTGGTGTGTGGGCAGCCACCATTTCAAGAGGCCAATGACAGTGAAACATTGACAATGATCATGGATTGCAAATATACAGTACCATCCCACGTATCTAAAGGGTGTAAAGAGTAAGTAAAAGAAAAAAAAAAAGTATGTGGGTATCTTTGTTCATTTTAATTTTTGAACCCAATATTTCTGCTCTTGTTAAGTATGTTTTGGGGAGTTAACCATAGAATATGATTGAAATTTAATATTGGAGTACGGAATGTATTAGTCTATTTTTCACATATGCCAGTTTTCAAGAAACCCATTTTATGCCTCTTCAGCCTCCAGGAGAAGTGGGTTACTTTCACTTGAAGAATTACCGTAAGAACTACTTTCTCTTTTTGCACCTGGAATTATTTGACATTCCAGAGAACAGTTAGGGAATTTTCTTTCCTGAAATAGACCATCAACACACCATTTTAGGATTTACATAGCATGCCTCATAATTTTACTCATGTACTTCTCTCCCCAGTTGACTGAAGAGCTCTGTTTTGGTTCATGTGACTATGGGAAGAAGTATATGCAAGCTGATTACTTGGAATTTAAAGTACTATGTATATAGTACTGTGATATGTGTGGTGATAAGTTCATAATGGAGTAAAAGAACTGTTGGAAGTTCAGTATTTCTTTGATATTGTGGTGATATTTTAAAATAAGGTCTCCTGAGATGATAGCTACTTAAAGGATTTTGCTAGAGTAATAAAGTTTTTAGTTTCTCCCATCAGCTGATAAGAAGGAAATCTGAGCTTGAGGAACCTTTTCTCCAAGTGGATCCCCATCTTAGGCCATAGTTAAGAATTTAGGAATTCCAGCTCTCTGGATTCAGCTACTGGTTTCTCAGTTTACTAATGATATGAGAATGGTGGAACATACCTTATAGGGTTATTGTGAAAATTAAATGAATTAATGTATATAAAGCTTGTAGCTCAGTCTTTAGCACATAAGTAGCACTCAAGATGAATATTGATGACTCTTCTCCTCCTCCTCCCCCTTATACCCTTACTATTATTATTCTCTACCCCAGGAAGCAGGCTGTGCTCTCTGGGGGTATATGTTGTGTGCGTGTTAGATGTTTGTAATTCAAGGAGTATCTCCATAGCCCCTTCTGAAAAAACTAAAACAGAGTAACTTATTTTTATATTGACATTTATCATTCAAAGGAATGGATAAAATGTGTATGTAATAAAATGAACCCATTATCCAGCTTAAGATAAAGAACGGTTCTAATATTTTAGAAGCCTCTTGGTGTCTCCCTCCTAGAGGGATTATCTTTGATAATCATAGGACCATTCAGTTTCTACTTTTTCCTACTTTTTCCTTTTTCCTGTCAGTTTTGGTAAGTTTTGTTTCTTAAGGAGCTTGTCCATTTTACCTAAATTTTCAAATTTATTGGCTTCAAGTATTTATAATATCCTCTAATTATATTTTTTTTAATTTTATTTTTTGGTACACGGGCCTCTCACTGTTGTGGCCGCTCCCGTTGCGGAGCACAGGCTCTGGACGCGCAGGCTCAGCGGCCATGGCTCACAGGCCCAGCCGCTCCGTGGCATGTGGGATCTTCCCAGACCGGGGCACGAACCCGCGTCCCCTGCATCGGCAGGCGGACTCTCAACCACTGCACCACCAGGGAAGCCCTCTAATTATATTTTTAAAGCCTATGAATGAGTGGAGTTGTTGCCCTTTTTCATTCTCATACTGATTTTTTTGCCTTCTCTATTTTTGCATTCTCTATTTTTGTCTTGATCAGTCTTACATGAGGTTTGTTCATTTTAATCTTTTTCAAAGAACTATCTTTTGTCTTTATTAATTTACTATTTTTTGTTTTATGCTATTGATATTCTTTTGTCTGTATTATTTCCTTCTGCCTACTTAATGGGCTAATTCTTTTGTTCTTTTTCTTAAGTGGGGTTTCAGATAATAAATTTTCCTTTTCTAAGGTAGTAGTTAAGGCTATAAGTTGCCTCTTAGTACCATTTCAGCTGCATCCCATTAGTTTTGATTAATAGTCCTTTTGTTATTCAGTTCTGATTATTTTATAGGTTCCATGGGTTTATTTAACCTATTACTTTCAGAGGGGTATTTTAAATTTCCAAATGTGTAGCTTTACTAATTAACTTTTTGTTATTCATTTCTAACTTAATTGCATTGTGATCCAAGAATATAGTCTATATGTTACTAGTTTTTTTAAAATTGGTAAGGCTTCCTATGGCTTAGCATGGAGTCAGTTTTTGTAAATAATCCTTTTGTTCTGGAAAAGAATGTATGTTTTCTAATTGTTGGGGTCAGAGTTCTGTATAAGTCCTTAAGGCTAAGCTTGTTTATTATGATGTTTAAAATTACTTCTGAGTCTTTTGACTGCTTGATCACTTACTGAGGTATTCTTCCACTACATGAAAGCATATTATAGGCAAAAAAAAAAATAGTGATTACCCCCGTTAATACAACATTGTAAATGTATTTTTTTTATTCTTGAAAGTCTCTCAGTGTTTGCTTTGGGTGTTTCGGGGGAATGTTATTAGGTCCAAACAAGTTGAAAACTGTTGTGTCTTGCTGGTGAATTGAACCTTTGTATCACTATTTATCTCTAATGATGCTTTGGGCTTTAAAGTCAGTCTTTGTTGTCTAGTTTTAGCTAACCATTCCAGTTGTCTTTTGGTTAGCATTTACGTGCTATATAGGTTTCCATTCTTTTACTTTAAATCTTTTATTGGCTTGTTTTTAGGTACATCTTTTTTTAACAGTTGGGAGCTGGATTTTTGATTAATCCCATCTGACCAATGCTCCCATCTGAGCATTGTCTTTTAATTGGAGAGTTTATTCCATTTATTTTTATTGTGTTCACTGGTAGAAGTAGAGGTATTTGATGTCTTTGCATTCTGATTTTGCCATCGTGTCTTTTAGTTCTTGCAGTGGTACCTTGTTTCCTTTGTAGTTTTTGACTGCGAGGTCGGATTTCTTATAAAATTATGTGGCAGTTCTTTTAAGTTACATTCCCTAGAGAAAGTTTGCATTTGCTTTTCTACTAGTTGCCCATGGGCACGTCCAGCCTGAAACCTCTTAAAATTAACTTTTTCACTATGTGTACCATACAGATATACTATCATTAATTTGGACCCCAAACTTGTGAGAGGACCAGCTTGTAGTTAGAAGTTCTTAGAAGAAATACCCCATCTCACCTCCACAGCACTGTTGAGGCAGCAGATTTCCCTCTTGACATGTTAGCAGTAGGTTTGTTTCTTCTCGTTCATCTTCACAGTGAAGCTGGGGTCCCAGTTCTTTGCAAGGGTTCTAGTTGCATCCCCCACTTTCAGTAGGCCGTACATGTTATATTCTGGTGATATTCTGTTTCGTGTACTCAGTGTGGAAACAAAAAAGCAGAAACAGGCCAAGGCCAACTTTGTCATTTGCTCCTAAGAGTCTTGCTTTTATTCTGTTTTTACCTGCTGAGTAGTTCGTCTGTCCATGTTTCTGTCTGCCCTCCCTCCCTTCCTTCCTGCCAACACAATGCCTTTAAACAAAATATATGTCTAAAAATATATGTCATTTTGGTTGCTTTCATCAGGATGGTCATTCATTCTTCTGGAAACAGAAGTTGGCTCATGCACCCTGTTCTGTGTGTCGTCGCTGATCATTGTATCTGATTCCGGTCTGCCACCATGCCACAGTTAATTCAAGGACAGATGTTGGTACCTAGAGTTACTTCTAGATGATAGGAAACTGCATTTGTGTGTTTGGCTTATCAGTATATGTGGTGGTTGTGATTTTTTATTTTATGAATCTGATGGCACTTTCTTTATTCCCATCTGCCCCACCATCACCTCTAGTGGACGTAATGAAATTGATGGTATAAGTTCAGGACACAATTCTGATAAATACAGTAACCCACCATTACTAATCCCTGACAGCAGTTTGCTTTAACAATGGACTTACCTTCCTTTCCAGCCTGATCACAAGGATGCTACAGAGAGATCCCAAGAGAAGGGCCTCTTTAGAAGAGATTGAAAACCATCCTTGGCTTCAGGGAGTGGACCCTTCCCCAGCCACGAAGTATAACATCCCCCTCGTGTCATATAAAAACCTCTCGGAAGAGGAGCACAACAGCATCATTCAGCGCATGGTGCTCGGGGACATAGCGGATCGGGATGCCATTGTCGAGTATGTCGGCGCTCATCAGTACAGGGGCCGTGGGCGTAGGGTTCTTGGGATGGGCTCTTTTCTTAACGTGTCAGGGCTTGTGGACACTGTAATGGATAGGGTTGCCAGTGGGCAGGGGTTATGTCATTTATCTCTAGAGTTTCTGGCCCAGTACCTGGCTCATAGGTTTTGTTGGTCTTTTGTTTTTACTTTTGTACTAGTGAACAGTGAGTCCTGTGGCCTTTCTCCCTTCTTACAGAAGTGGATTGGAATAGACTGTTTTATATCCCAGTACATGCCTTGTCCATTGCTGTATCCTCTTAATTCTTGGGTCTCCCTCTGGTCCCCATAAGGAAGCAGGGACACTCAAGGGGGCGACACCACAATTCCTCAAAATCAGGGGTTGCTATATGCGTCCAGTCACACATTTTTGTAAGTAAAGTTGTAGTGGCCCACAGCTGAGACCATTTGTTTACATGTTGTCCATGGCAGCACTGTGCTGCAGTATCGGCGTCATTGCGAGATGGACCGTGTTACCTACAAAACTCGAAGTATTTACTGTCTGGCTCTTTAGAGCCCTTGCTGCAGTAACCTGGAACCCACGAGATGCACAAGTTTTTAGTTACATTTTTTGAAACCAAAGACAGTTTTTTATAACCTAAGAAGTTGGGAATCAAGGATAATATAAAGATGCAGTTGCTTTAACAATGATATGATTCATTTCTGTAAGAGGTCCTGTCTGTAAAAATATGAAGCGTTTCCACAAATGAAAAGTCAAAAGTTATTTAACCCATTGAGTGAAATAGTTGGATATGATGGAAAGAGGATGTACTCTGGGGGGCAAAAAAGAGGTTCCCATCGGGAGGGCCACTCTGGCCTGGCTGAGTGATCTGACCCAGGTACCTGTCCTCGGGGGAGAGGAGGCTGCAGGCTGGACTTACCTCTACAGCGTGGCAGACTGTCACACGTGGCACCTGAGGGTCTGGTCCCTGAGAAGGGTGGTGTCTGTATAAAGGACATGTATCTTTAGGGTACACTGGAAAGAAGGGTTTACAAAACTAATGATCGTTTTGGTTTAAGTACACATTTCTTCAGATTTCTGAGTGCGTTCTCAGTTTTCACGGATTGACCTAAAGAAACAGAGAAGTGCAGGACACTTGCTCTTTCTGCCAAGGACGACACTCACTTTAGGAATGTGTGGAAAATGATTTTTCACTTTTAAGTGAATAAAAAAGGCTATTTGCATCGCCCTGAATTGGCTTAATATTTTTAAATGAATAAACACATGCAGTGGTGTAGTATAGAACTGTTTAATTCATGTGAATTCAATTATCAATCCAGAAGGAGAGGTGATGCCTCAGGTGATGCCCTGAGCCCGAGTCCTCCCGGCTGGTCTCAGGCAAGTCTTTCTTGCTGCCCACAGTACGAGCAGCTCGTCACTGCAGGGTGATTCCTGAGTTCATAGACACGTTTGTTGGTCCCCTTAACACAAGCCCACAGCTCTCCCCAATGCTCAGCTGAGGGAACCACTCTGACAAGTCATTGTGGCCCAGAATTTCACCTCGGGCTCTTCGTTTAGGACCTCTCACCTCAGCCCCACTTGCCCCCATTAGCTGAGGCCCCGCCGTCCGTTTTGTGAGGAGAGACTCCTGTATCGTTTCCTCCCGAAGTGTTCATTGCATATGTTCGCTAACTACAGAAAGGTCCTGAAAAGCATAATTACATATTTCTGGGCCTTGTGGATCCTCTGTGGCATTCCTCCTGTGTCCCACTACCAGCCAGCTGCAGGAGAGCAGGCAGGCTGTGTGCTCCAGCACGGCGCCGGCCAGACTGCGGACTCTCAGAGAGCATTACTTTTGAGGTGGATGAATGAACGCGTAGATTTTATTCAAAGAAGAGGCTAATGACATGCTTTCAATGTATTAATAATTCATTCATGTCGGAAAATGCCAATAAATACAAAGAGTATAAAAATAAAAGCTTTTTCTAATTTTTCTGATTGATACTAGTGTTTCAGTGTACATTCATGTAACTCATTTCATAGTTCTGCTGGAAGCAAGTAAACCAGTGTAATGGAAATAAACACTGACACACATTAAATTTTTGGATAATGTGTACATTCTTGGAAACTTCATTATTTTGTGCATCTAAAACCAACATCCAGCTCAGCTGCCATCAGCATTTTGGGTTTTTCTTACTAATTGAACATTTTTATGAAGTTGTGACTTAGAATTTTAAGAATGATCTACTAGGTTTTTTTTCTCATTTGTGTGTGTGTGTTGGTTTTTTCTTTCCCCGTAATTTTAAAGATTCCAGGTCATTGGATTTTATTTGCTTGTACTTAAAAAAAAAAAAAAAAATCCAGTTCTGTTTGTGAAAAAACAAACCTGCAAATGTGGCTTATATTCACTCTCTCTTATCTCCTCAGAGCCCTGGAAACCAACAGGTATAACCACATCACAGCCACTTACTTCTTGCTTGCTGAAAGGATCCTGAGGGAAAAGCAAGAGAAAGAAATACAGACCAGGTCTGCAAGCCCTAGCAATATCAAGGCCCAGTTTAGGTGAGAAAAAAATCTTCACTGATTTTAGTAAGTTAACGTTTTGAAATAGTGAACTTTTTTTTTGATGTTTCCTAAGTCTGTGGGGTGGGAGTATAAAGAGTGGTGACAGCCTCGCTGGAGGGGCCACCTGTGGGCCCTCCACGTGAGTGGGGGTCCTGGTTCCTTGGTCACCAGGGATGCCTTCCTCTCTCGGGCTTAGTGGAGAGGGGCTGCAGTTGCTGGCTTGGCCACAAAGACACCTGCGGAGAAGCAGCAGCCTCAGGCTAGCGTGCCAGCTATTTTCGCTAAGCTCTTCCAGATCGGACATGTGTAAATGTGTTATTTTCTTTAATTTTTCATTCTAGGAACAAGGCCAGGTTTTCCCTCCGTATTTGACATAATTTTAAAAGACATACAGAGCACGTCTGTGGCATGATGCTGTCTTAGGGTTTCAGGGATTCGGCATCACATCAGCTAGTTGATTGGTCAGCTGCTTGATCTTGGGAGGCCACTTAACCTCTCTCTGACTCAGCTTCCTGTGAAGTGGGAGTAGTAATCCTGTTTACCTCTTGGGGTTGTGGTGATGGATAAACGAATTAATATACGTGAAGTGCTTTGGACTGGGCTTCACGTGTTTGCTGTCATTGTTGAGAACGTTTCCCCACCACATCACCTTTGGTAAAGCAGTGACTGTGCGCTCGTCTCCCCTGTGTTTTCTTACCCCTTCCCTTCCTTTCCCAGCTCTCCCCCTTCCCCCCGACCCCCTCCTCTTCTCCCCCTACCTTCCTTCTCCTCTTTTTCTTCTGCCATATTAGCTTTCCATTTAATATCAAAGCTTGGGAAGGGTTACTTTTTTTTGTCACCATTATGAAAACTTATTTAGACTTTATCTTTATTCAGATGAAGTAATCCATGGAATTATAGTGATTCAAAAACAGAAGGAGGGACTTCCCTGGTGGTCCAGTGGTAAAGAATCCGCCTTCCAGTGCAGGGGATGAGGGTCAATCCCTGGTCGGGGATCTAAGGTCCCACGTGCCGTGGGGCAACTAAACCTGTGCGCCACAACTACTGAGCTCGCGTTCCTCAACTAGAGAGCCTGCGTGCTGCACACTACAGAGCCCACACGCTCTGGAACCTGCATGCCATAACTACAGAGCCTGTGTGCTGCAACTAGAGAGAAGCCTGTGCGCCGCAACGAAAGATCCCACATGCTTCAATGAAGATCCCGTGTGCTGCAACTAAGTCCCGACGCAGCCTAAATAAATAAATATAAAATAAGTAGTTAAAAAATTTTTTTAAAAAACTAGAAGGATGATCTTGGTTCTAAATAATTCTCTACTTGTACATAGTTATATAAACATATATGTGTGAATATGTAACAGTAATTACTACTTAAAAGAGGAAGAATACCGTTGGATTTTAAATTACTTGCAGTCACCTTGCCATATGTCGGTTGTTGCTTGGGATGGAGCAACAGAGAAGAGACAAGAAAACATTCCCGGGTGACCGAAGACTAAATATTTAGAAGTCTAGTTTAATGGGAAGATGAATTTGGTAACTGCATCTATATCCTGGACATACTCTTGCATGATGAAAACTAGACGCTCTGTCTGGTGTCAGCTTGGAAGAAGACTGGACCCCAGGGAGCATGGGGACCCTCGCACATGGGACAAACCAGGAGAGTGACAGGGAGTGGTTAGGGTCAGCCTAGTCGTGACCCGAGCCCTCTCGTGTGAAAGACTGGCTCCAGAGCCACCACCACATGCTGTGCCACCAGGCCTGGAGCCACTCCAGTGTTTTGGAGAAGGGAATATTTGGAATTGAACGGTTTTATTTTTAGGGGAACAGATCGGAACTCAATCTGAAGTTGAGCAGATATGTAAATGAACTAAATTGGTTTTACTGTACCATAGAAATTACAAAGCCAACAGTAGTTATAAAGAAATATCAGAGCCTTCCACGCACTTTCCTTTTACCCACCTGGGGATTACAGAGTGGAGATGCTGTTGGGGCCTGTCCTCCTCCTGGGGCCCAGGGCCCACTGGCAGGTGGTGGATGTCTGCTTACTTGCCTTCTCTTTGTTGTCGAAACCCTGCACCCTAACTTGGTTCCATTGCTGGGTGTGCCTTGGGGTCAGAGTGACTTGGGGTGCAGAAACGTGGTTGGCGTCTAACCAGCAGAGTCATTTGTGGGGCATGGGTAGGTCAAGTCAGGGAGAGTGAGCCCCAGAGAGCGGATACGCTCTTTGGGTCCTGCCAGCATGGGATGGAAACACGTGTATTCTGTTAGAAGAACTTTGTGAAGGCTTCTGGGAGCTGAACTCCACACGGGTGGGACCAGTGCCCGCATCCTTCCGGAGAGAAACTAGGAAGTAAGGAAAACCACAGAGGCCTGACTGCAAAGGTGCCATCCATTCGATAGGCAGTCATTCAGAGGGCTTCCTGGGTTGCAGAGTGAAGCCACTGCTCTGGGCGTTTAGTAACCACTGAACTCAGCCTAGATGTCACTGTCTTCAAGCCCGTGTGGCCTTGGGCAGGTTGCTTACACTCTTTGTGTTTTGATTTCTTCACTGTCAAGGGAGGATGGGATTGTGGTGGCATTAAATGAATTAATTGCCGTCAGGCTCTCTCCACAGTGCTGGCTCTAGTAAGTTCTCGGTGTGAACTGTGCTGTCAGTGTGACTCGTTTATAGTTCTTGTTAGCAGTCTTTCTCGTCTTTCGTTAAGATAAGCCGTGATCTTCTTACAGTGTCGTGCTCATTAAGTCTAGCACAGCGCTGGGGCCAGAAATGTTCTTAACAAACGTGAGCTGCTTAACCATCTGATTTACTCCCATAAATAAGAGCCATTGGTTCAGAAGTGGAGGTAGCGTGTCTGGTAGAGCTGCAGCGCTTAGTAACCAGCTGGTGTCTGGGGGTGGGTTCTGAGGGTGGTTTTGGCTTTCTCTTGGGGTTGGTGGGGAGAGAAGCGCCTCCGGCACATCTGTGCCCTGCCCCCCTCGAGTGGACTGGCTGCCGCTCTGGTGGGTCAGACGCACTGTCCGCACCTGCCTCCCACTACAGGGACCCCAGCGTATGCCAGGGTGACCTTTTGGGTGGCTGCTCTCTGAGGAGCAGCCTGAAAGGAATGTTGTGTGCCGTTTCCTAGGGCCCCGAGGCTCATCTGGAGTTGGTACAGTTGTGTTGTGAGGACAGAGGACTTGTCCAGAGACGCTGCTTGCCCTCAGAATCATTGAACACCCAGCTTCTGTAAACTACCAAGCAGTGACCAGCAAACGGACCCACTCCATCCTTGAGAGAGAGGAGGAGGCTCCGAGTTGGGGGAAAGAGGTCTGCTGTAAACTCCTATGGGTTTTTTAAGGCTATAGATTTAAATTGGGTTTTATGTCTAGGATAACGTGAGTGGTGTGACGTGGAAGTGTCAGCGTACCAGTGGCTGTTTCAGTGTCACTGGCGTCTACTGTTCCCCTGAGCAGAGAGGGCAGTTGAGAATTCAAGATGTTTATTCAAAACAGGCTGGAGACCTCACTTTCAGAAGTCTTCCTTGGGCTACCAAGCAGTGCTCTTACCACTTGGGTGACCCTGGGTTAAGGGATAAAATCAAAGTTTAAATAACAGTGGATTTTGCTATGCAGGACTCTGTTGTCGTCATTTAAAAATGTATGTATTGGGCTTCCCTGGTGGCGCAGTGGTTGAGAGTCCGCCTGCCGATGCAGGGGACACGGGTTTGTGCCCCGGTCCGGGAAGATCCCACATGCTGCGGAGCGGCTGGGCCCGTGAGCCATGGCCGCTGAGCCTGCGCGTCCGGAGCCTGTGCTCCGCAACGGGAGAGGCCACAACAGTGAGAGGCCCGCGTACCGCAAAAAAAAAAAAAGTATTTCGTTTAGAGGGTGCATATTTTAATTGGTGAAGAAGAGATTTATGTATGCCAGTATTCACTGACTTTCCTCTCCCGTATCATATTTAAATGCAGTAAACTATTTCCATTTGTTTTTGTAAACACCAACTATTAACACCATCCAGTAAAATCTGGAGGACTGGAAATTTCAGGTGAATTTATTAGCAGTGATATACCTTCAAAGGTTGTGATCTTAAGACCAGAAGGAGCAAAACCTGTGTTCGGGTTTTGCTTTGGTGATAACTCCCTTGTACTTTCTAAAAAGGTTTTTCTTGCTCTATAAAACGTTTCTATAGAAAAGATGTTTGCCCCCTTTTCTGACAGCCGTGATGAAGTTTTCATTTGGCCAATAAGCCATAAACTGAACCACATTTCAAAGTAACATTTGCCCTTCTAGTGTCCTTGTGATGTTTACAGGATGTTGAATGGGTTTGCAAGGCTGCTGTTTCTTTTTTCTCTTTCGTTTTTTTTTTTTTTTGTAAAGTGTGTATTTTGTCCCAGTAAGTTTTATTTAAGGTACTTGGGTAAAGTCTGTGTACCATTACATAGCTTTTCTTTTTTTTTTTTTTCAATCTGTTACATAGGCAGTCATGGCCAACCAAAATTGACGTGCCCCAGGACCTTGAGGATGATCTCACGGCCACTCCTTTGTCCCACGCGACTGTCCCTCAGTCTCCTGCTCGGGCTGCCGACAGTGTCCTCAACGGCCACAGGAGCAAAGGCCTGTGTGACTCGGCTAAGAAAGACGACCTCCCCGAGTTGGCCGGGCCTGCGCTGTCCACGGGGCCACCCGCCAGCCTGAAACCCGCAGCCAGTGGGCGGAAGTGTCTGTTTCGGGTGGAGGAAGACGAAGAGGAAGACGAGGAGGACAAGAAGCCCATGTCCCTCTCAACACAGGTGGTTCTGCGCCGCAAGCCATCCGTGACCAACCGCCTGACGTCCAGGAAGAGCGCCCCGGTGCTCAACCAGATATTCGAGGAGGGGGAGTCGGACGACGAGTTCGACATGGATGAGAACCTGCCTCCCAAGCTGAGCCGCTTGAAGATGAACATTGCTTCTCCGGGGACGGTCCACAAACGCTACCACCGCAGGAAAAGTCAGGGCCGCGGCTCCAGCTGCAGCAGCTCGGAGACCAGCGACGACGACTCGGAGAGCCGCCGGCGGCTGGATAAAGACAGCGGTTTCACCTACTCCTGGCACCGCCGGGACAGCAGCGAGGGGCCCCCAGGCAGCGAGGGCGACGGCGGCGGCCAGAGCAAGCCGAGCCGCGGCGGCGGGGGCGCGGACAAGGCCAGCCCCAGCGAGCACAGCGCTGGCGGGGGTGGCCCCGCGGGGGGGTCGGGCGGCGCCCCGGGCGGCACGTCAGGGAGTGCCCGCCGCTGCGCCGGCCCCGGCTCCTCCACGTCCACGCAGCTGGCGGCGCGCGGCGCCGGGGAGCTGGTGGAGAGCCTCAAACTCATGGGCCTCTGCCTCGGCTCCCAGCTGCACGGGAGCGCCAAGTACATTATCGACCCGCAGAGCAGCCTGTCGTTCTCCAGCGTGAAGGTCCAGGAGAAGTCCGCCTGGAAGATGTGCATCGGCTCCGCAGGCGGTGCGGCGCCCGCCCCAGCCGTGGGCGGCATGAAGTTCTTCTCCGACCACGTGGCGAACACCACCGTGGAGTTGGACCGGATAAAGAGCAAGAATCTGAAAAACAACGTGCTCCAGCTACCTCTGTGCGAAAAGACCATCTCTGTGAACATCCAGCGGAACCCCAAGGAGGGGCTGCTGTGCGCCTCCAGCCAGGCCAGCTGCTGCCACGTCATCTGACCTCGGTGCGCTTCCTGCTCAGAGCGGCGAAGACCGGCTCACTTCACTGGTCCCTTTTCGGTTTTCCTCTTTTAAAGCGGGCAATTATTTATTACTTTTTCATTTGTTCGCCTGACGACTTGACAAATGCATGGTCTTTGTGCATGCTGCTAGACACTCCTTTTTTCTTCCAGCCGAAAAGTCTTGTGTAATTTTTACATTTATAATTTTAATGTGGATGATCAGGATTAAATTAAAATGTATATTTGGAACCTAATATAAATGGAGCACTTAGAAATTTGATGTTCTGCACTTAACCTAGAGAGAGAAAAAATGATTTTCCTTGTGAAAAACCTAAATTCCTGCTCCGACCTTCTGTGACATGGAACCTCCGTGATCTGAGGCACACTCTGGTGTCTGAGGCAGAACCAAAGCAATAACGTCGTGATGCCATCAGGCCTGGCGCCCGCGAGCGCGCCGCGTGCCCCCAGATGCCAGGGCCTGTGCAGAGCTCAGTGAGCGCCTGCACTGACAACCTTAAAACCATGTTTCAACATACCCACACCTGTTTGTCTTAAAGCTATAGGTGAAAACGGTTTGGGCTCTTAAAATTTAACTGAAAAAGATTTTCTTGTTTTGTAATAGGTGAGATCAAGTACTTAGATTTATAAGGCAGCTTCCCCCGTAGAGGTAAATCACAAGCAGACAATCTCATTTTGTAATGTGATAAAGTGAACTGATGATGTCTTAACTCTGCTTACAGAGTGTGTGTCTGTCTAACAGAACCAAACGATGCTTGGTGTTCATTCCTTCCTGGAGGGCACACCCCAGGGTTCCTTTATAACCACATAGATAGAAGAAACTATAGGGCCTAATATAGAAGCAAAGGTGTACCCAGATGTTGGCCAAGTCAAAACCCCATAAATTAAAAAAAAAAAAAGATTATTGGCATTTGATTTTTAGGAGTTTGATAATTAGGTTGTCTCTTGTTAACTTCCATTCTTTTACGTCTTTTATTTAGCTCAGCTACCTATGAAAATTGGCTGATTAAAAAATATACATAAAAGGGTAAGAATTCACACATAAAGCAAGCAAAAATGCACAAAGCCTGCTTTGTTTTTTGTTTTGTTTTTTTGCTGGAAGTGTTTTTCACTTTGCCTTCCTGCAAAAACAATAATCAAAGAACTTTTGCTTTAAGCTATTCCTGTACAAAGACTACTTTTGACCAGATAATCATCTTTCGTGGCTTTTATCTTGTAGGACACAGTATCATTTTGGAAGGGACCAGATGCTACTTTTTCATGCTGTGCCCAGGGGGTCTTAAAAGCAACACTTAGGGACAGTGGTGATAGGACGTGGCTGGGCCCCAGGGCCTTCCCACACTCGTCAGCCTCCTGTCGTGTCTCTGCGGTGACAGCTGCCTGGTCCGTAGAGCGGGCAGAGCACCAAAGGACAGCGTTCCACTGGTCACGGTTTCTCCAAGTACACACTGACTCTGCTACTTTAGGACTCATATGTTTTACTCAGAACTCTGAATTTCACAGTATACTTACTAAACTAAGTAAAGATGATAGTCAAAATACTTATTTTACTTTCTAGACCTAGGCTAGATACGTTTTAAGCTACAGCTCTAGTCCATTGTGATATTTATAATTGAGAGCTATGAGGATAGGTGTGTGGGTGAAGCCATAGAACATATTTGCTTGAAATTCTTGAGCAGGGATCTTATAAAGGGCCAGAAATAAGATGTGTGGTTCACATAGATAGTGAGCGTAACATCTGTATTAAACGTAGGAGAGAAGTTTATAAAGGGCATTGGCAATAAACTCTTTGTTGCAGCTGTTTTCCAAGTAATGTAAATACTTTTTCCTGTGATTATGTATAGCCTTGGAATGGCACCTTTTAACTAACCCATATGTGTTTGGTTTTCAATGGTTTTTTATATTCAAATGTATATATGGTGCTCACTTTTAGGATCAGCAGTGTTGACCATTTATGCTGCATAGCTGTATCATAGCCTTACTAGTTGTGTGTGGTTGGTTGACCCTCTGGGTATACAAATGTTAGTCTGAGTGGCGTCTTACTCATTTGTTCATAAGTGAATGATTGTGCATGTGTTGTATGTCATAGTATGTCATCACATAAAAGGGAGGGAGCAAATAACCATTACATTAAGATAATATTGGACCAAATGACTTACTTGCTCTAAACAGTTTCTTGTACCCCTTAACCTGTCTTCAGAAGTTGCATAGTTACAGTAGTGTGTAAATTAAATATTGTGGAAAAACAATTAGTCTTGTATTTTTCTGTATGTGTGTATATATATATACATATATATACATATATATATATATATAAAATGATGTACTTCTGGCAGTTCTATCTGTATTTAAAGTTGTGACAATCTTGACACTGATTTTAAGGATAGCCGTGAGACTGACTCAAAGATGTCCCTTCCAAGTAAGAATTGATGTGTGTTAAGAGGGTACAGAATTATCAGCTGATTTGGTCGGTTGCTTCCACTGCTGGTTGATACTCCTCGTTGTGTAAACATTGACAGGTATGTGACAAATGGGAAAAAAAAAAAGTCCAGATAATAAAGTGGCATATCGGTGTTCAGCAATATAAACTGTGTCGCATATCTTGTTTCTTCTTATGAATGCAGCTCTGTATAGTCCCGGCCTGGGTTAGACCGAAGTTCTACGTGCTGTGTGCGCACCTGCACCACCAGATGTGACTGAGAAAATGCAGTCGTGGCTGTTCTCAGTTTAAACTCGTGACCATAAGTCTCAGGTGGGTCCCAGGACTGCCCATTAATTAAACTTCATTTCCCCCATTATCTGCTTTCCTCACTCAGCCAGTCACCACGCTCTCAGTAAATAAACCGAAGCAGTTAGAACTGCCCCCAAGCTCCCACTTCTTCTTTCCCACCTTCGTATGTATCCACATGCCCTGCTCTTCCTCCCGGTCGTGTGACTCCAGGTAAGTCCCTTCACTTGCCCCTGAACACTTTACAGGTGTTAAGTGAGACAGACCTGAGGACTTTTGTCATTCTCTTCTTCCCTTTGCACTGTCAATCTTTGCCTCTCTACTAGATCATTCCTAACAGCAAACAAAACAGACATGATTTTATTCCCTCAAATATTTTGTTTTCTCTCTAGCTCTTGCCACATTTTTCTATTCCTCTCCTCACCTCTCTCTGAACCCTTCCAATCATGCACTGCTGCTGTCACCCCACCAAAACTGCTTTGCTCAAGGTCAGCAGTGATCTCCATGTGCTAAATCCAGTGGTCAATTTTTAGAAACAGCTTTCAGGTATAATCCACATACCGCATAATTCACTGATTTATATCGTACAATTCAATGGGTTTTAGTATATTGACAGAGTTCTGCAACCATCACCATAAACCCCAAAAGAAACCTTGTACCTGTTAGCACATTCTCCCTTTCCCCTCAACTCCCAGCCCAGCCTAAGCCAGACAAACACTAATCCAGTGGTCACTTCCAGTCCCACGTTAGCATTTGTTGAGTTGATCACTCTTCCTTGTAAACTTCACGTTGTTCAGGACTCTACTTCTACCTTGCTGCTCTTCAGTCCACTAGCTCCACGTTCTCCCAACCACTAAACTTGGAATACTGCAGGATTCGATTCTAGATCCTTTCTGTATCTACACACAGTCTCTTGATCCTTAACATCCATGTGCTGATAGAAGCCCGAAATATACTTAGCCCATGTCTCCCGGGAACACCAGATTCCAACTACCTATTTGATTTCTCTATTTGGATGTGTCTGATAAGCACCTCAATTTGTACAAGTCCCAAACTCATAATCCCCCTCAAATCCTTACCCTGCTAATGTTCCCCATCTCATAACTGACAACTCTAAACCTTCATTTGTTTTGCACAAGTCAAAAATCTTGGTGTCAACCCCCACTCTTTGATCCCAGCATCCAATCCATGAGCGCATCTTATTCACCATTCAAATATTGACACCTCATTGCCTCCACTCCTGACATTCTGGTCCATGAACATCATCATCACTTATCTGGTCAACTATAAAATGCCTCTTAAAGGGTTTCATCACTTTTGCTTCTTGTCTCTCTCATCTGTTTTCCATTCAGCATTGTGAGTGATCCTTCTAAAAGCTAAATCATGCTATGTTTTGAAAGGTGATTAATTTCCAAGCATTTGAAGATTTTCCACATAAGTTTCTGTTACTAATTTCTAGTTTGTTTTGTTCAGAAATCATGCTTTGTGTAATTTTTATTTTTCTTTAGTATATTTTTATTTCTGGCTGCACTGGGTCTTCATTGCTGTGCGCGGGCTTTCTCTGGTTGCGGTGAGGGGGGTCTACTCTTTGTTGCAGTGTGCGGGCTTCTCATTGCAGTGGCTTCTCTATTGTGGAGCACGGGCTCTAGGCGCACAGGCTTCGGTAGTTGTGGCAGGCGGGCTCAGCAGTTGTGGCACATGGGTTCTAGAGTGCAGGCTCAGTAGTTGTGGCACCCGGGCTTAGTTGCTCCACGGCAGGTGGGATCTTCCCGGGCCAGGGCTCAAACCCATGTCCCCTGCATTGGCAGGTGGATTCTTAACCACTGCGCCACCAGGAAAGCCCCTGCTTTGTGTAATTTAAATCTTTTTAAGCTTAACTGAAATTTGTTTTATGGCCCAGCTAATGGCCTATCTTGGTGAATGTTTATGTGAGTGCTTGAGAAGTGCTCTTGCTGGTAAAGTGTTCTGTATGTTTAATACATGTCAATAATTAACTCAAGTTGATTGATAATGGTATTCAAGTCTTCTGTATCCTTACTGATTTTCTGTCTCATTATATAAATACTGAGAGAGAAGTGTTGAAATCCAGCTGTAGTTATGGATTTGCCTATTTCTCCTTTTAGTTCTATCAGTTTCACTTTATGAAATGTGAAGTTCTGTTGTTAGATTTAAGATTGTTAAGTCTTCGTGATGAATTGGTCCCTTTCATCATTATGAAATGTTGCTCTTTATCCCTAGTAAATTATTTTTTGTTCTGAAGTCTACTTTGTGTGATACTGATATAGCCATTCTAACTCTTTTTGACTTGTGGGAGTGTATTTTACTTCTAACCTATCTGTATCTTTATATTTAAAATAGGAGTTTGGGTTTTTTCTTTTTTGTTTTTTTGTAGGTAGCATGTAGTTGGGTCTTGCTTTTTTGTCCAGTCTGCAAATCTTTACCTTTTATTTGGAGTACTTAGACCAATTACATTTAGTGTAATTATCAACATGGTTGAGTTTAGATCTACCTTCTTTCTAATTGTTTCTACTTGTTTCATCTGTTCTTTCTTTTTCCCTCTTTTACCAACTTCTCTTGGTTTAACTAAGCACTTTTTATTGGCTGTGTGCCTCTCATTTTTTTCTAGAACGCAACCTTACAACTATATACTTCCATTTTCTTCCTTCTCTTCTTTGTACTGTTGTCAATCATTTTATTTTTACATATGCATACACAGTTTTGTTTTAGGTAGTTTTCTTTTTAAGAGAGGAAACATGGAAAAGTCTTACATTACCAACATCTTTATCATTTCCGTCACTCTTCATTTCCTTGTACAGATCCACATTTTGGTATTTTCCTTCTGCCTATAGAACTTAAAATTTTTTATAGTGCAGGTCTGCTGACTATATTCTGACAGCTTTTGCTTGTCTGAAAAGGTATTTTTACTTCATTTGTGAAGGCTGTTTTCATTGGGTATAGAAGTCTAGCTTGACAGTTTTTTTATTGCAATGCCGGACACCGTGAATTTCACATTGTTGAGTGCTGGATTTTGTATTCATGTAAAAAGTGCTGGGTTTCGTTTTGGCGTAGGGTTACTTGGAATCAGTTGGATCCTTTTGGGCCTTGCTTTTAAAGTGTGTTAGGACAGATCCAGAGCAGTCTTCAGGGCCAATTTGGCCCACCACTGAAGCGGTACCCTTCTAAGCACTCTACCGAACTCTTTCCACTCTGGCTGGTGGGAGCATGAACTGTTCTCAGCTTTGTGTAAGTTCTAAGCGTTAGTCAGTCTACTGCTTTCCGGGGGGCTTCTTACTCCAGCTCCAGGTAGTTTTCTTACGCACATGTAGCGATCGGCTCTCAGTCAAAGACGACAGATTCCAGTTCTCGCTCACTCCTTGTGCAGCAGGATATGCCAGACCTCAGGCTACCCCTTTGCCCCGAAGTCCAGCAGGGGTTGGGTTCCTCAGGCTTCTGGATCTGGCGAGGGATAGTTGAGAAGGGGAAATGGAATCTAGCCTTTCTTGAGCTGATGGAAGCCAAGCACATTGTGACTGCTAGAGAGTCGTTTGTATTTTTGAGGATCCCCGACTCCCGAGCACCTCTCTCCCAGCAAAGCGTTACGTGTTGGAAAGTCAAGAAGAGGGAAAACACAGAACCTTGGTCCTTGTGAGTTCATAATGCCCTTGGGGAAGAAACAGGGATTTTAAATTAGCACCAGATGACCATCAGAGGTGGTGACGGGTCACAGGGCACTGCTGTGAGGGCCAGGAAAGTTCCAAGACAGGTGAGCCAGGGGAGGGAGGGAGAGTGCAGGAGGCAGAGAATTGAGCTGGGTGGGATCCGGGTCATCGGTTCCTGTGAGCCACAGGAGACAGGCGTGGACTTTGCCGGGAGAGAAGGGTCACAGGGACTCCAGGGTTTCTGGACTGGAAGACTGGAAGAACTGGAGGACTGCGGGGCATGGCTAGAAAGATTGTTGCCAGGTGGAACATCAGTGTTAGGGTAGAAAGGAGACAGACTCAACATCCCACTGTCACTCAGGGCCCCCGCTTAGAAGGGCCCTCTCTTGGCTTAACAAACACTCTGCTCTTAGTTTGTTGTCTTGAAATTGTTGAAACTTTTGAAAAGGGGGACTGCATTTTCATCTTGCACTGGGCCCTGCAGGTTATGCACCTGGCCGAGGGGTTAGCTCTGTTCCGCAGGTATGAAGGAGGTGATCTCAGCCACGAGGATGGGAGGCTTTGGTGAGAGCAGAGGCCCAGAGAGAGCAGCCGAGGCCAGAGACAGAAGCCCAGGGGCCGCCTCAAGTGTGGGGCTGAGAGGAGGCATCAGGGAAACAAGGAGTGGAGGCCACCGAGCGGGAGAGCGACAGGTGAGCCCAAGAACTGCTCACTGAGGCCGTGGTCTCTGAGCAGCAGAGACAGCTCTGAGGCGGAGGAGAACGAGAGGTGGAAGCAGGTCCTGCGGAGGCCTCTCTGAGAAGTGTCGGCAGTGAGGTGGCCGCGGTGATGGGGAGTGTGTGGGCGGTGCTCTGAGAGCGCCCCGCGGGAAGGGACCGGTAGGCGGGCTGTGGGGCTCAGAAGGGTACAGGGCCTGCCCACAGGCACGGCACTGACCCGACCCCAGAGCCCACCCCTCAGGTTGCCCGGCTGCATGCGGCGAGGGGAGACAGTGGATGACCTCTGACCTTCCAGAGGGCTGGGCAAAGCAGTATTAAAGCACTAGGCTGTGGGTTCACTTTAAACCACACTGGAGCTCTTACATAACAGATGTCTGTGCATCTTGTTACCTTTCTAATACCTGAAAGAATTCCAAATTCTGTGAGACCCCCCCGGTCCTGAGGGATGCGGACATGCAGATGAGATCACGTCGGGCAGCTCGCTACACCTCGTGATGGGAAGGCGTTTGGAGTCAGGGGCTGGGACCTGGTCTCACAACACGTCCCAGGGGGTGCCAGCGTGCCGCAGCTTCCCTGGGAGCAGAATAGGACCGAGGAAGAAGCGTCTCTCGGCCCCGGGATGCCTGTGGTGTGTTAAGGAGTCGGTACCTTCAGCGTGTTTGTGTAGGAAGCACAGCAAATACCTGGACCAGTGGGCACACGGTTTAGGTGGGAGTCAGCCCATCACTGGGTCGGTTCAGGTTATTAACGCAGATCCCTGCCTGCATCCTTCCTTCAGTTGTGGCCCAAATGCCAGGGGCTGCTCATCCAGGGCACAGGCAGGGCGCCCTGGCTGGCGGGCAGTCGGGCGGGTCTTGGAAGGCAGTTGTTGGTACCACGCTTGGTCTCCCCGTTTATTTAGCTGACTCCATCTGCAAAGAGCCAGCCCTGTGGTGCCAGTTTTCGGCCTTGTGTTCTGGGATTGGAGGGGCAGAGATCACTGTAAGTGGCTCTTCAGCCTCCCTTAGGGTGGAAACATGTTTGTTTCCTGTTTTTGAGCCAGGCAGCTGTGTAAAGGGCAGCGTGGATCTGTGTCTGCACTACTGAGTTGCCCTCTGGTCCTTTGTTCGGCACTTTGATGATTTTCCTGGTCCTGAGCAGATGACTGCCTTCACACCTTGGGCCTGTTGGACACCTGCCGGGGCGGGGGTCAGCAGACCTGGGCTCACCCGGCTGTGCCCTTCCCGTGTCCTCCTGCCTGGGCCGCGGTGCTCTCGGCTGTGCACAGGAGAAGACAGTGGGTAGCGGAAGGAGCCACGTGATCCCGATGCTTTGTGCCGCGTTCTCCCCGTCCCCCGAGGGAGTTCACCAGCAGCCAGAAAGGTCCAGAGAGGAGGCCACGTGTCATCTGCGTGATCTGTGCCACAAGCTCAAGGGAAAATGCCGTCGTATCTCTTTTACGTTAGTTGATCACGTGAGGCTCACAGACCAGTTAGCAAGAAGCCTGGCGTCCCCTCCCTCCTGAGTGGTGGCGGCTCTGCCTCTGACCTGCCCAGGTATCCCAGGGGCTTTCAAAGGGTCGTGGGGCATGCCAGCGCCGGGTGTTGGAACTGGAAGGTCTCTTTGGTCCTGCGCCCCGTTGCTCCTCTGCCCCAGGTCCTGTTCAGGCCCAGGGGTGCCTATCCAGTGCAAGGGAGGTCCTTGTTGCTCCAGATCCCTGCCAGACCGTGGGGGCCCCCACCTGGCACCTTGGTGACGAGGCAGCAGGGGAGGAGGCTGGCTCTGCGGGGCTGTTAGCATCGGCCCCTCCTGGGGAGAAACCGGCAGGGCCTCTGCTCCCCTCAGTTCTCACACTCCAGAGCGTGCAGCGTGTGGCAGCGTCCATTGCAGGCATCCTCGAAGACGTGGAGCCCCAGGCCAAGCTGCCAGAACCCCGTTCCTCAGGCCTGGGTGGCGGCACCCGAGCATCCGCAGTGAACAGGGTGCAGGTGGTTCTCTCCTGGGGTCTGCGGCCACTCTCTGAGGCCCACTTGCTGATGCCAGCCTCACTGCCCACCCAGTGCAGGGCTTGGTTGGGGCCCCAGCTAGCTCGCAAGACCTCCTAACTTTGACTCTTAGGAGGTTGGGAGGAGGAGTGTCCCATAGCCTCCCCAGGTGCCTGCTTGTACAGACACCAGAGACCACAGACTGGCCTCTGGTCAGGATGCGCGGAAGCGCCTTCCTTCCTCTGCAGAGGCTGTGGCCCCTCGTGGTGGTGACGCAAGGGTGCTCCCAGGCTGGAGAGTCCTGAGGACACAGCTGCCCCGGCAGAGGGGTCATGTCTTCCCTCCAGTCCCTGGTGGCCCTGGAAGGTGCTGGTGGCTCCACTTCTGTCAGATCCCCTCTCTTCAGGCCACCCTAGGGCGGGGCATGGAGGGCAGTCCTCGGACTTGGCTGACCCGCCAGAAGCTCGCCGTTACCTGCTGCTTGCCCGGTGCCGGGGGCTGTCCTTGCAGGGCCGTGGGTTAAACCGGGTCAGGAAGAGTCTGGATCCCAGGGTTCTTGTTCTGCGGCCTTTGGTCTTCCATCTTCTTGTTGCTAGTTTCCTGCTGGAAGGAGGGCAGGAGCTCCAGGGTCAGGGCTGAGAGAGAGCTGGGGCCGAGGGCCTGGTACAGGCTGCAAGCACCGTCCTGGCAGATGTGGGCCACGCTGCTGTGAATTCCCCGAAGCCCCCTGTGCCTCAGTTTTCTCATCTATAAAATAGGGACAATAGGAGGAAACTGAGGCCCAGAGGGCGTATCAAGGAGGGAAGTGGCCTCCGGCTTCACTGTAGGGCTGGGTATCCCTAACCATTTGCTTCTAGTGTCCTCCCAAAAGTCAGCAGCATAAAGATTTGTTCTCACGTCTGAGCTCTGGAGCCGCTGGTGGGGAGTGAGTCAGTGTGGCCACCAGGGGGGAGAGAAGGGTCCACTGCCTGCCCCGCCGCCTGCAGCAGGCCCACCAGGCTGACCATAGAGAGCAAGGGGGCGCCTGTGTGCGGGGCACGGGCCCAGCCCCTGCCCCCGGAGGCCCAGTGACTGTCAGTGGCCCAGAACTGAATGTCATGCTGGTGGCGTGAGAGGGGATAGTCGGGCTGAGAAGTGAATTGGGCCAGGGCATACTGGCAATCTGTGGACTCAGTGACAGTCTGTATTTCGTGGCTTGAGGGAGGGTGGTAGTCAGGGGAGAGGCCACGGCAGGCAAGGAGCGGCGCTGCGGCCTGGCTCTGCCCCAGAGAGCGTCACGACCAGTGAGGGCCACCTCTGCGGCTGCACACGCCTCGTCTCGCTGGGACCCTCCCAGCAGGGCCAGCGGGACGGGGCTTGTGCCGGAATGGGGGCATCACCTGTCTCTGGCTCTCCCCAGGTGCTGAGGCTCTTCTCTGGGGACCTGCCCACGCAGCGGCTCCTCGAGAGCCGTCTGGTGACCGGGCTTGGGTCCAAAGACCTGGGGTCACTGCAGTGTGGGCAAGGCCTCACGCGCCCTGAGAACCGGGGCGGGCTGTGTGCACAGGAGACCGGGTTCCTGGCCGCCCGCTCCCTGCTCGGTCTGGAGACACTGCTGCCTCAGCCTCCTGCTGGCGCCATCGCTTTAAGCACCTTTTCTTACCCGGGCTTGGGCTCCTGCCTCACCTGCTCCAGGTAGGCAGTGCCTGCAGCTCTTGTCCACTCCACAGGGGAAGGCGGGCTAGGAACGACGAGAGGAGGGATCTCCCGCGGCCTGAATCCTCGGGGTGTCTGGGAGAAGTGGGGAGCAGTGCAGCTGAGTTGGGGGTGGGGCACGAGGACCCCAGGGCTAGCAGGGCAGCGGGGCGGCGGGGGCGGGAGCAGGCCGGGGGAGCGCTGCCGGGCATCCTCCTCACGCACGGGGGCCGGTGAGCGGTGGTGGGCAGTGTCATCCTGGGTGTCTCCCTCAGGCCGGTTAGGGTGACGAGGAACTACGAGACGTGCAGTGACGGACACCTTGGTTTCTTCCACCCCTGCTCCTGGGCACCTGCCACGAGCCAGACGCCACCGACTCCGAGCGCTGGGACACAAAGAGGAGTTCCGGGGGCCTAGCGGGCCTACGCGGCATCTCCTTCCCGCCAGCCTCCCTCTTGTCTCCACCTGACCGGCTCCCACGCCCATCCTCCTCCTCCCCGAGGCCCAGGAGCCCGCCCCAGTGAGGTGGGTCCCCGCGTCCAGGCTGACCCGGTCCCGTTTCCCCCGAGCATGACTGGCTTAGTCCTGGGTAAGTGACGTGGTTCTGCTGCGTCAGACTGAGGAAGGGCAGGGGGAGGCTTCTGGGAAAGACAGACAGTCGTGAGCGCAGGGAGCCCGGGGTCCGCACTGTCGCAGGGCGAGGAGGGCCAGCCTGGAGGGCAGCTGTGAGCCCGCGGGTGGGGAGGTGAGCTGATGGGGTCCACCCGGAACCCACCACCTCACACCCAACTGCACTCATGTGACTGGTCCCCAAAACCCGCTCTGGGGGAGACAGCTGGGTCCAAGGACCCACCTGAACTTTCTCCTTTCCCAGCAAACACAGGCGCCCAGGCTGGAATTGCAGGGAAGCTCTTGGCGCCTCAGGACTGGAGTGGCGGCTACCATTCCCTGGTGTTTTAAGACACAAGAATGCTCTAGAAAGTATCCATCGAGCACGGAACCACCAGTGAGTACTTGTGCCATGCAAGGCCTTAGACCAAGGGGGCAGGGCAAGGCTGACCACAGGTGTCCGTGCTGGCAAAGACGACAGTCTGGCAGCACCCACTGAACAACCACGCGGGGCAGACGGGAGAGGTGGGCTTCCAAAAACATGCGTGGAGCGGGCCTGCCGTGGCCACCCCAGTCTTGATGTGAAGGAGGGAATCGAGGGGCCGGGCTCGGAGCGAGGGACACGGGTCTAGACCTGCCCGCCGTTCCCGAGATGGGCCCGGTGTCCTGGCTATGAGGGCCCCAGTGAGGTGGGGCTGGCTGTTGTCTGGGGCAGTTTGAGCAGCTGGGGGGAAAGGAAGCCAGGCCTGGCCCAAGCGGGGTGGTCCCCGGGGCTGGACCAGAGCCAGGAGCCCGGAGGGCGGTTCCCGGGGGGCCGGGGGCTGCTGTGCTGGCAAGGGAGCTGCATCCCTGCGGGCACAGCCGGGACAGCCCCCCCAGTTGTGGCCCAGCCGGCCGGCTGTGCTGAAGGTAGCCCAGCGGCTCCTGCCGCACACCCCCAGGGAAGGCCCAGCGGCAGCAGAACCTCCCGAGGACCCCTGGGGCTTCCGCACACCTTGGAAGTGGCCCAGCCTCGAGGCGGGCCCGGGCCTCGGCTGCCCTGGCGGCTCCCCCTTCCACGACCCGGCTCGGAGCAGACGGGCTGCTCCATCCACACACGGAAGGAGGCGTCAGGCGGGCATGAGGCCTTTAATAGCTTGGTGACCTCTGTTCCGTGAATAAAGGGTCTGTGAACATAGAGCAGGACAGAGCCAGAGAGAGGCACCTCGCGTCGTCGAGCGTCGGCAACGCCACCTCGCTGGACGCCCCGCCTGCCGACCCGACGGGCCGACGGTCACTGTGAAGGCAACCCGGGGAGCTGGCGGTTCGGCCACGTGCCAGGCTGGGCAGCGGCGGCTCCAGAGCAAGGTCGGGCGGCGTGCGTGCGGGGCTCCGCGCGGGGAGGGCGCCCGCTGGCTCCACCGGCCCTCAGGGCGCCTCCTCCTTCCCGCCTTCCCTCCAGTCCTCTTTCAGGTTCTCGGCCACGTGCTTCATCTGCTGTCGAGAGAACACAGGACACGCGGAGTCACGTGAGGCTGGGTGGTGGCGCCTCAGGGGCGGCCCAGGCCCCGCTCCGGCATCAAGGCGCCGGCACGGCGGGAGTCCTGCTGCTCCAGTCCCGGGGCCCCGGCCGCCTCTGTGCCCTGGGTGCTGGACAGCGTGCATAGAGCTCTGCCCTGGGTACTGAACCAATGAATAACTCCTTTGGGATTTGGCTTAAAATGCACACGGAGATTTCTGATAACAGCTGTTTACTTATGGAGAAAACAAGACTCTGAGCACAAACGCTGCTGGTGCCCGGGTACCTGGCTGCCCCTCTTGGGAGCCCCAAACACCACACGGGCTGGACACGGTGCACACTCCCGCCGGCTTTTGGGGAGAGGAGGCTGGTTCACAGACTGCAAGTCGAACGCCTCTGCCTCCTGCTGCAACCTGCTTCCCTCCCCGAAGGCTCCTTTAGGCCTGTAGCATCTCAGGAGGCCCCCGTCACTCCGGTCAGTCCTCCTCTTTTCTAGCCTGTTCTGCCTTCCGCAGGGCCGTGCCGAGATGGGCTCCCGGCAGCTGGCCCCTGTCCATCTGGGCTGGGGAGGGGCCTGCCTGGGTCTGGGGGAGCAGGGTTAGGGGACGGCTCCTGATGGGGGAGGTGCCGAGTGGGGACGGGCTCTTCCCGCAGCCTCTGAGCAGGCCTAGAGCAGGCGCCCCTCAGCTGCGGGGTTTATGCGACCTTCAGCCTGACAGGACGGCAGAGACGGTGTGATTTAGTTCACAAACCTGGAGAAGCAGAACGGCCATGCCACCCGAATCCCCCCAGAAGTTAGTTTTTGCCTCTGCTACCTTTTCCGTTACTCATGTCTCCCGTCCTCTCACGAGCCCACTTTGACTGTCAACTACTGATGTAAAATGTAGTATTTCCCCCCAGATGCACTTCAGACTCTTGCAGCTGGTGTCATTTAATACTTACGAGACCTTTAAACATGTCTATTTATGAGAGACAGAAAGGGGGTGAGGCACAGAAGATGAATCTATTTCCTGATTTGACAAGTAACCGTAAGAAACTAAAAGCGGCATAAATTTAAACTAGCATCAAAATGAGGATACGACATTCCCTAGTTTGTCACAGAATCTACCAGCCACACTTGCCCTCCACAAGCCTTCGAGGCTCCCTGTGAGCTACAAACAGCCCCCCCTCTGCGTGCGTGGCTGCGGAGGGGGCAGCCCCTTGGCGTCAGGCCAGAGCGTCCCGCAGACCTCGCGGGAGGCTGAGGGGAGCCATCTGACGGGCCCTGTGCCCTGAATGACCCAGCCCCAAGTGACCTAGCTTTTCGAAGATGCCTCTTCTTTCAGGTCCCAGGTTGGGGGCTTGGCCCAGGCCGGGGAAGAGACTCAGAACCCACTGGGCTTGGACGACTGCCCACCCGCAGTGCCTGCCCTGCTGAGGGCAGCTCCTAAGGGTAGCGGTTCCTGGATGTCACGGGCTCGTCTACACTTAACTGCGCTGCTGGAAGCAAAGGTAGGAACCGGGGCAGGGATCACCCCGCCCCGCCCTCGCCCCCTGCCCCTCATGCAGTCTACACAGGAGCTCCTGTCTCCACTCGTGCCCTTTCCTCGCCTGTCCTGGAGCAAGGCTGCTTCTGAAGCTGAAGAGTGACAGGCCCCCAGGCCTCTGGGTCGAGCCAGCCCCACTCCACCCCCCCCCCCCCCCCCCGGCCGTCCCATGGCTGGGTCCCTCAGGGCTCGATCTGCCTCACAGAGCTCTGTGATCCCCAAAGGCAACGTGGCCCGTGGGGGGCGGGAAGGCTTATTATGCCCCCATGACCTCTACCTGGCCTTCCTCAGCACAGTGCCGAGGCCCTGGGAAGTGGCAGGGAGCAGGACCAGAACTTAAGACCTGTAGCTAAAGCCCAAAGAAGAAACCCAGCAGCTAAGAGGAAACAAACTGCAACGGCCCGCCTGCCTGAGGTGAAGAGTTCAACTGGATTTGAGGTCAGTGAGCGACGCTGCAACCTTTCCTGCACAAACGGGGCAGGCCTACTCGGCTCCTGCCTGAAAGATGGGGTCAGATGCCATCTGGCCTCGAGACAGCTTGTCCTGGGTCAACCGGCCGCTGCCCACTGCTCTTGGGTCTGGATCCCCTCAGTGTGTGGTCATGTAACTTGTAATGCAACTGCCCCCTGCCCCAGCGAAGCTTTCCACATCCTCGCCTACTGGTGAAATGGTGGGCAGTGGCAGAACTAACTCCAGAAGCACGAAATTGCTGCTCTGAAGGAACCCTGGTGATCATTTGGTCCTGTGGTCACTTAAGGGTCCTGAGACCCTGTTAAATGCAGACTCTTGGTACCTCCCCGAGATGCTAAGATGCCGTCATGCTGGCTTGTAGAGGGACCCAGGACTCTCTGAACTTTTAGCAAGCCCTCGAAGTTTCTCCGTGGACAAACCCAGGGCGGGGAGTCACTGGTTTGCTGTCTGCCACCCTTCACCAGCACGCAAGCTGGCGTCGCGGGCCATGCTGGGCAGATCCAGGCAACCGTGTGTGCTCTGGCGGGGAGGCGCCGTCCCCTCAGGGCCTCACGCTGCCTCCTGCAGCTCAGCTCTTTGGCGTCTTCTCTTTAGCTGCCCCGCCTGGAGGGTGGGGTGAAAAAACTGGCTTCTTTGGGGATTCTTAAATCAAAACCTTATTAAAAATACAAGCAGGATAAAAGTCCTGACTTCTTCCCCATAAAAAGCACCAGAATGAAGAGAGAATGAAAGTTTCCTCAACTCATGATTCATTAAAACACTCATGCTCCAAATTACTCTTTAAAAAGCACAGACTGATTTTTGGCATCATTATTAGCAATGATTATACAGGTGGACCTTGTTTCACTGTGCTTCACAGAAATTGAGTTTTTTACAAATTGAAGGTTTGTGGCAATCCTGTGTTGAGCAATTCTATTGGTGCCATTTTTCAAACAGCATTAGTTTTTAATTAAGGTATGTACACTGTTTTTTATAGACATAATGCTACTGCACACTCAATAGACTGTAGTACAGTGTAAGCATAACTTTCATATATGTTGGAAAACCAAAAATTCACATGACTCGCTTTATTGCAGTGGCCTGGAACCAAGCCCAGGGTATCTCGGAGGTCTGCCTGTAACAGGAACCGAATCACTACGCGTGCTGGCCAAACATGCAGCTTAACCTGAGAAACGGTGAGTAACCAGATCCCTTCTTCCCTGTGGAGAAGTACAGAAGTGTGTTCTGAGACCTGCAGTCCTCAGACGGGGCTTCATCCTCCCGGGCTTGCAGCAGAGACTCTGCCTCGCTGAGCCCATAATCAGTTTTGGGATCCTTCCACTCACATCGCTCAGGAAATCAGTCCATTACAGTACTGCGCAATTTTCAGTCTGTTAGCAGCTATTCCATTACTCTTTCCCCCAAAGCAACAACCACCTGCCCAGAAGGACTCTATCTGGGCAGGTCTTGGCTGAGGACAGGCCAAACCTGTGCATTCATCTCTTCCTGTTTGTTTACTAGAGGCCTCCAGTCTCTGAGTGTGGAGCTGAGTGGCTAGAGCCAGGCTGAGGGCCTCTGCGGCCAGGCCATCTCATCCCACGACAGCAGCTCAAACATGAACTGGGTTCTCAGGTCAGTTCAGCTCAGCAACAGCACCTGGGGGACCAGGGTCCCTGAGTCCCGCCAGCCTCAGGTGCGCAGTCCTGGTGACAGCACTGCCATCACCCATCCCTCCTTCCCCTACCCCACTCCGTTCTGATTTAATGGGCTGGGGTGTGGCCTGGGGGTTAGCAAAGCTCCCCTGGATGATTCTATCGCACAGCTGGGGTAGAGAACCACTGCCTGGAAGGAAGCCCCGCCCACTGTGGGCGGGGCCAGCAGGAGAGGGCGCTTCCCTCGTGCACAGCTGTGCCCTCCCTCCCCATCCACCCCGGCAACCACAAGCATGTCTCCTCTATCCTGTCACTTGTTTGAGGTCATGTACTTAGAGTCAGGGCAAAATTAAGCAAGGGTCTGGCAATTCAGGTGAAAAGGGAAGTAGAGAACGGGCCTTTTGAAGTACCGCATTTTCACAAAAACGATTTTTGTCTGTTTGTTAGATCTAGAGGAGAGTTCCTCAAACACGCAGCAGGCTGAACACGTTCGGAAGTAACAGTTAAAAACGCCAGATCTGTCCTGGGCCTGGCGATGCCATCAGGCTCTGACAACCCCAAGCAGTGGGTGGAGGGGCAGCAAGGTGCAGGGACAGCACCAGCGGGGAGTTACATCCACCTCCTCTCCCTCTGGAGGGGTTGGTTCATTTTACCATTTGACAAAATGTAGAAGTGTGAGATTTGCTGACACCCAAACAGGCCAGCGCTCTGAATCCCTCACCTCCCACCCCGGCCAACTTTTCTCCCAGTCGCCCCCATCTCAGGGACCACTACCAGCCGGCTACTCGGACCCAAACTGCAGACGTCACCCTGGACGACTCTCTGCCCCTCCCCATCGGGTCCTGTCGACTCCACCTGCCAAGCACACCCCATTCCTCCCAACTCCTACCTTAGGGCTGTCGCACCTGCTGCACCGAAACCACCTCCCAAACTTTCCCACGCTTGTGCAAACGCAGCCCAAGCCGTGTTTTAAAACGGGACCAGAACATGCCACTACAGGGGTTTCCCAAAGACTCGAGATGAAAACTCAAGCCTCCACTTTTCTCTCACAGCCCCGCTGCCTCCAGTCTAGCTCCTTCTTCCCGCAGGCCCATCACCATATGCTTCGCCTGCCCTGCCACTGAGCTTTGCTCCTCGGCCTGTCTTCCCCCAGAGAAGCCGTCCCAAATCACTTACCCAGAGGAGTCTCCCGTCACCGTCACATCCCTTCATTTTAATTCCTGCACTCCACTCAGACCATCTGGTTTTTAATTGTCTATGTGAACTTTGTTTTTTTTTCTGCTTTAAACATTCTATCCCATCTAATACCTGGTCTCCTGACTCTGCCCCCAGGGCCTGCAAAAGCTCCGGCACCAAGTTGGTGCTCCACAGATACCTGTGGAAGAGCAACCAAGCACAGCTCCAAGCCTACAGCAGCAGCCAGAGATGACAGCTCAGCCGATAATCTCATCAAGAACAACACAGACAGGTAAAGCCTCCCTTCTCATGGGTGCGTAAATGAGACACATTCATGTTCTTGAAGTCAGCGTCACTTTCTGGACCATAAATGTGCCCGTCACATGTATAGGGTCATAGGAAACACACCGTAACATGGGCTGTATGTCAGAAGTTTCAGGATTTTGGAGTTCCAGATGGTTCCCTGCCCTGGTAACAGTGCAGACCTGGGTCCAGCCCCTCAGGATGTCACCCAGTGGAGATAGGAATCTCAGTCCCCCAAGCCCTCAGGGGTGGTTCTGGTGAAGGGAAGGTGGTATGCAGGTAGAGCTGGGTGGAGAGAAGATGACAGGGGAAAGTCAAGGGCCACCAGGGAAGTTGCCAGATCATCATCTTGGTCCCAGCTGGAAACCAAGACTCCTCCAAGAAGGTCCAAACCCAGCTCCCAGACCTGGTGGCCAGGCCCAGCTCACCCAACCAGTGAGATGCCAGTGTCCACGAGTTCATTAACTGCATGAGCTGATCCTGGGGAAGACAAATGTCAGTTCAACTTAAAGAAAATATCTACTTCTTAAATCATCTTTTGGGAGGAGGAGATCAAGGTGGCAGGGCAGAAGGACGTGGAGCTCACCTCCCCCCACAAATACGTCAAAAATACATCTACAACTGGAACAATTCTCACAGAACACCAACTGAAAGTGCTAAATGAAAAAGTGGAGGAAGCAGTCCCAATTAAAAGAAAAAGAGAAGTCGCCTGAAAGAACAAACAGTGAATACCAGCTGAATACCAACTGAAAGCGGGCAGAAGAGCTCATACAACTGAAGCTGTAAGAAAGATCCCCATGTAACCTGGTAAGACTAAAGGGCAAAAAGGGGGGGGGGAATCAAGGTGGGACCTGTGCTCCTGGGAGGGAGCCATGAAAGAGGAATGGTTTCCTTACCCTGGGAACCTGCTTCGCCGGCTGGGAGCTCAGCCAAGACAGATAGGTAGCTGCAGGAGCCTGGAATTTGCCCAAGAGGAGTGTGCACAGGCTGGCTGGCTTCCACGCAGGATAGAGAGGAACCGACACTGACTGCTGCCACGTCACCACACTGCCCAGCCCAAGACACGCACTTACCGGTGTGCACAGTTCCTGGGTGCTGAAACTCAGGCTTCAGCGGACAGACTCGAGGAGGGGACTTGGTTTGGCTATTTGGACATAGCCCGAAGGGCCTAGGATGTGGTCCAGGCCGCAAATGGGGGTGTGTGTGGGACAGAGCGTGGGTCCGTCATGGAAGCCTCATTCACACCATGCTCACAGTGGGCACAGCTTCCGGAGCTCCCACTTTGTGAGTGTGCACGTGACGAAGGCAGGCAGAGCTGACGCACGCGCTCTGGCAGTAGAGGGTAGGCCGACTTTGTGGGTGTGCACACCAGGTGATGGGTGGTGTCACAGAGTTGCCTGTCCCAGCAAACAGGTCCTGCAGAGGAACACCCAGCACCTCCTTTCCAGGGGGAGTGCTCCAGTCTCACCTACCTCACACTGCAGCTTAGAACCGGACCTGGGGGCTTTTACTCCAACAACTGGGGAGCAAACCCTACCCCCGACAGGGCCGTGACAACCAAAGAGGAAGCCCCGCCCAATATCCAGTGCAGGCTCTGGTCACCACAGCACCAAACACACCCCTTATCAAGGGGACAGTGGCCAGCACGCTCTGAGCAAAGTCATGGCGGGCATCCGCACCAAATGTAGCCCTCGCATCAAAAATATTGGACTTACACAGTCTACAAAGGGATGCTCCCACATAAAAGCAGCCTTTCAAGACCACAGTACGTAACTGTTTCTCCTAAATTCTTAGCGTAAGAGAAATGAAAGTAAAATGACAAAGCAGAGGAAGTACTCCCAATTAAAAGAAAAAAGAAGTCCCCGAAAGAAAAAAACAATGAAACAGACCTCTCCAGTCTACCAGACCACTGAGTTCAAAAAGGAGGTAATAAAAATGCTGAAGGAATTAAGAAAGACTATCAGTAGAAATGGAGATCACTGTAACAAGGAACTAGAAACCATAAAGAGACAATCAAAATTAGACAACTCAATTGCCAAGATAAAAACCGAGCTAAAGGTAATAAATAGCAAACTAAATAATGCAGAAGAACGAAAAGTGATCTGTAAGAATAACAGAAGTCACCCAATCAGAACAGCAGACAGAAAGACAAATGAAAGCAACATACGAGACATATAGGATAATATAAAGTGTGCCAATCTACACATAATAGGAATTCCAGAAGGTGAAGAAAGGGAAAAGTGGATCAAGATGTATTTGAAGAAATTACGGCTGAAAACTTTCCAAACCTAAAGAAGGAAACAGATATCCAGGGACAAGAAGTACAGAGAGTTCCACACCAAGACATATAATTAAAATGGCAAAAGTTAAAGAGAGGATTCTAAAGGCAGCAAGAGAAAAAGAGGAACCCCCATAAGTCTATCAACTGATTTCTCTACAGAAACATTGCAGGCCAGAAGGGAGTGGCAAGCTCTATTCAAAGTCCTGAAAGGGAAACTCTGCAACCTAGGATACTCTACCCAGCAAGATTATCATTTAGATTAAAAGAAGAGATAAAGAATTTCTCAATCAAAAACTAAAAGAATACAGCAATACTAACCCTATCCTAAAAGAAATATTGAAAGGTCTTCTTTAAATAGAAATGAAGCAAGAACCTATAAGAAAGGGGAAAATCACAATAGGAAAGGCAAATATATAAAAGGATTGAAGGTCAGTTAAATAAGCCAGTACATAGATTAAAAAAAATTTTTTTTAATTTTCTGAATGTGATTACAACTACAAGGAACAGCAAATGGATAAACATGAAGATGTAAAATGGACATCAAAATGTGGAGAAGGGTAGTAGGATAAGGTACATCTTTTAGAATGTAGAGCTTTCATGGCTATCAGTCTAAAGCAAGTAGTTATAGTTATGGGTTACCATATTTGAAAACCAGGGTAACCACAAATTAAAAACATACAGTAACAGAAACATAGATCGATGGAACAAGATAGAAAGCCCAGAGATAAACCCAAGCACCTATGGTCAACTAATCTATGGCAAGGATATACAATGGAGAAAAGACAGTCTCGTCAATAAGTGGTGCTGGGAAAACTGGACAGCTACATGTAAAAGAATGAAATTAGAACACTCCCTAACACCATACACACAAAAAAAAACCTCAAAATGGATTAGAGACCTAAATGTAAGACCAGACACTATAAAACTCTTAGAGGAAAACATAGGAAGAACACTCTTTGACATAAATCACAGCAAGATCTTTTTTGATCCACCTTCTAGAGTAATGGAAATAAAAACAAAAATAAATGGGACCTAATGAAACTTCAAAGCTTTTGCACAGCAAAGGAAACCATAAACAAGACAAAAAGACAGCCCTCAGAATGGGAGAAAATATTTGCAAACGAATCAATGGACAAAGGATTAATCTCCAAAATATACGAGCAGCTCATGCAGCTCAATATCAAAAAAACAAACAACCCAATCCAAAAATGGGCAGAAGACCTAAATAGACATTTCTCCATAGAAGACATACAGATGGCCAAGAAGCACATGAAAAGCTGCTCAACATCACTAATTATTAGAGAAATGCAAATCAAAACTACAATGAGGTATCACCTCACACCAGTGAGAATGGGCATCATCAGAAAATCTACAAACAACAAATGCTGGAGAGAGTGTGGAGAAAAGAGAACCCTCTTGCACTGTTGGTAGGAATGTAAATTGATACAGCCACTATGGAGAACAGTATGGAGGTTCCTTAAAAAACTAAAAATGAATTACCATATGATCCAGCCATCCCACTACTGGGCATATACCCAGAGAAGACCATAATTCAAAAAGACACATGCACCCCAATGTTCACTGCAGCACTATTTACAACAGCCAGGTCATGGAAGCAACCTAAATGCCCATCGACAGACAAATAGATAAAGATGTGGTGCATATATACAATGGAATATTACTCAGCCATAAAAAGGAACGAAATTGGGTCATTTGTTGAGACGTGGATGGATCCAGAGACTGTCATACAGAGTGAAGTAAGTCAGAAAGAGAAAAACAAATATCGTATATTAACGCATATATGTGGAACCTAGAAAAATGGTACAGATGAACCGGTTTGCAGGGCAGAAATTGAGACACAGATGTAGAGAACAAACATATGGACACCAAGCAGGGAAAGTGGCAGGGGGGTGGGGGTGGTGGTGTGATGAATTGGGCGATTGGGATTGACATGTATACACGGATGTATATAAAATTGATGACTAATAAGAACCTGCTGTATAAAAAAATTAAATTAAAAAATAAAAAAAACATACAATAGATTCACAAAAACCAATAAGGAAAGAACTCAAGTGTAATACAAAAGAAAATTATCAAACCACAAAAGGAAAAACAAAAAGAAGGAACAAAGAAGAAATACAAACAAAATCAACTGGAAAACAAGGTTTAAAATGGCAGTAAATACATACCTATCAATAAATTATCTTAAATGTCTATGAACTAAACACTCCAACCAAAAGACATAGAGTGACAGATTGGATGATAAAACAAGAACCTACAACATGCTGCCTACAAGAGATCCACATAGATTAAAAATGAAGGGATGGAAAAAGATATTTCGTGCAAATGGAAACAACAAGAAAGCAAGGGTTGCAATACCCATATCAGAAAAAATAAACTTTGAAACAAAGGCCATAAAGAAAGACAAAGAAGGACACTATAAAATGATGAAAGGATCAATACAAGAAGAGACTATTATACTTGTTATAATATTGTTATTAATATTATATAATATAAATGCATCCAATATAGAAGCACATAAATACATTAAAACAAATACTAACAAACGTTAAAAGGAGAAAGTGATGGGAACACAGTAACAGTAGGAGATTTTAACACTCCACTGACATCAGTGGACAGATCTTCCAGGCTCGAAAAGGAAACAAAGACTCGAAATGACACAATAGAGCAGTTAGACTTAATTAATATCTACAGGACCTCAGTCTAAAAAAACCAGAGTACACATTGTCTTCAAGTGCACATGGAACATTCTCTAGGATGGACTACATACTAGGGCACAAAACAAGCCTCAACAAATTTAAAAGGACAGAAATTATTTCAAGCATCTTCTCTGACTACAATGGCATGAAACTAGAAATCAACCAGAGAAAGAGAAATGAGAAAAAAATGACTACATGGAGACTGACCAACATGCTACTAAAAAACCAATGGGTCAGTGATGAAATCAAAGAGAAAATTTAAAAATACCTTGAGACAAATGACAATGAAAACACAACCATACAGAATCTATGGGATGCAGCAAAAGCAATCCTAAGCGGGGAAGTTCATAGTGATACAGGCCTTCTTCAAAAAAACAAGAAAAATCTCAAATAGACAACCTAAAAGAATTAGAAAAAGAAGAAACAAAAGCTAAAGTCAGCAGAAGGAAGGAAATAATAAAGATAAGAGAGGAAATAAAAGAGATAAAAAAATAGAAAAAAATCAATAAAAAACCAAGAGCTGTTTTTTGAAAGGATAAACAAAATCAACAAACTCTGGCCACCAGGGATCATCAAGAAGAAAAGAGAAGAAGAAAGGCTCACCACAAAGAAAAGGGAGGAACCAAATAAATAAAATAAGAAATGAAAGAGGAGAAATAAGAACTGATACCACAGAAATTCAAAAAACCATAAGAAATCATATGCCAACAAAATAGACAACCTAGAAGAAGTGGACAAGTTTCTTGAAACATGCAGTCTGCCAGAACTGAATCAAGAAACAGATAATTTGAACAGACTGATCGCTAGAAATGAAATAGAATTTGTAATTTAAAAAACACCCTGCAAAGAGAAGTCCAGAACTGGATGGCTTCACTGGGGAATTCTACCAGACATACAAAGAACTCATACCTATTCTTCTCAAACTCTTCCAAGAGACTGAAGAGGCGGGAACACTCCCAAAGTCATTCTATGAAGCCACCATCACCCTGATGTCAAAACCAAAGATACTACCAAAAAAGAATATTACAGGCCAATATCTCTGATGAATATAGATGCAAAAATCCTCAGCAAAATATTAGCAAACAGAATCCAATGACACATAAGAAGGATCATATGCCATGATCAAGTTGGATTCATTCCAGGGTCACAAAGATGGTTCGAAACACAAATGGATCAATGTGATACACCACATCAACAAAAGAAAAGTAAAAAACCACATGATCATCAATAGATGCAGAAAAAGCATTTGATAAAATTCAACATCCATTCATGATAAAAAATCTCACCAAAATGGGTACAGAGGGAACATATCTCAACATAATAAAAGCCATTTACAACAAATCCATGGCCAATATAATACTCAATGGTGAAAAGCTGAAAGGCTTCCTGCTAAATTCTGGAATGAGACAAGGACGTCCACTCTCACCACTTCTATTTGACATAGTATTGGAAGTCTTAATACAGTAATCAGATAAGAAAAAGAAATAAAACGGGAAGAGGTAAAATTGTCATTGTATGCAGGTGAAATGATACTCTATATGGAAAACCCTAGAGGCTCCACACAAAAACCATTAGAACTAATAAATGAATTCAGCAAGGCAGCAGGATACAAGAACAATATACAGGAATCTGTTGCATTTCTTTATACTGACAATGAAATATCAGAAGTAGAAAGTAAAAAACAATTCCATTTAAAATAGTGTCCCCCTCCCCCGCCAAAAAAAAAATCTAGAATAAACCTAACCAAGGATGTGAAAGACCTATATGCTGGGAACTGTAAAACACTGATAAATGAAATTGAAGATAATACAAAGAAATAGAAAAATATCCCCTGCTACTGGATTGGAAAAATTAATATTGTTAAAATGGCCACACAACCCAAAGCAATCTGCAGATTTAATGTGATCCTTATCAAATTACCCATGACATTTTTCACAGAACTAGAACAAATAATCCTAAAATTTATATGGAACCACAAAAGACCCAGAATTGCCAAAGCAATTCTGAGGGAAAAAACAAAGATGGAGGCATAACTCTCCCAGACTTTAGACAACACTACAAAGCTACAGTAATTAAAACAGCGTGATATTGGCACAAAAACAGACACATAACATCAATGGAACATAATAGAGAACCCAGAAATAAACCCACACACGTAGTCAATTAATCTTCAACAAAGGAGGCAAGACTACACAAGGGAGAAAAGACAGCCTCTT